AACCCAAAAAAATTACCACTAACTTTTCAAAAATGTTTATGTAACCAAACATTCGATAGATTTAAGATCCATGTCAATGTCATGAAGTGTACAAAAGACACACAACCTTGACAGGTCTTGAAAAGTAAAGACCTCTCTTAAATATTTCATGAGAAGAAATCACAAAACACACAGCCAGATGTCCTATGGCCAAATATCCTAAGCTTCCTCTTTAGATCTTGCTCTCCATGAAATCTACCTCACTGAAGTAGCTGCTCCCCAGTCTGGCTTCCCGTCTGACACCACCTGCCGTGTGCCAGATTCTATTCTCCACCTTCTCTCCTCTCATTCTTACCATTTCCTTTAAGATTCTTCTTTTCCTTGGGTATTTCCCTCCATACCCTTTCTTAAAACCAACATAAGCCCCCTTAAGCTTCTTCTGTGTCCCTTTCCACATTAGAGAGCATCTCCATTTCCTTCTGCTCCCTCCCCAAACCCCCCGCAACAGAGACCCAGAGAAGAGAAATAGAGATGCCTCTTTAAAGACAATGAGGAAAAACTGCAACTATTCTTACTTGAATATTTTTGGGGTGTGTGTGTGTAAATTGCCAAGGTAAAATAACAACACTGCAGAAAATGTAAGAATAAGATTTTTTTTTAAAGGACCCACAAATCATTTTGATAAGATTATTTCTAGCCATTATCTTTCTGGTGCCCACGGATGTTCCAATGTGGTTGAAATTATGGTGCATGTACACTTACATGCTGATTTTTAACCTTAAGCATTAGCCTGTGCCATCCTGTTGTCATCAAAACTATCATTGTTCCCCATTGGTATTGAATAGAATTGGCATTGAATAGAATATTCAAATTGGCATGCTGTTATGGGGGGGGGTTCCATTTTTATTGAATATATTTAAGGCATCCAACATGCTGTTTTGATATACTCACCCTGACATACATATACACAGTGAAGTGATGACTACAGGCAAGCAAATTTACACACCATCATCCCATATAGTTACCTCTTTGTGTCTGTGTATGGTAAAAGTGCCGAAAATCTTCTTTCTTGGCAATTTACCAGTACACAATACAATATTACGAACTAGTAACTAGTAATTAGTCCTCATGCTGTACACTAGATCACTTGACTTATTCATACTGTACTACTATAATTTTGTGTCTTTTGACCATCATCTTCTCGTTTCCACCTCCACCCCCTGCTCTGCCTATGTAATATTTTTATTTGTCCTGTGTCTGGCTTATTTCACTTAGCATAATGTCCGCTAGATTCATCCATGTTGTCACAAATGCCAGGATCTCCTTTAAGGCTTCATAATATTCCATCACATACACACACACATACACACACACACATATTTCTTTATTCATTCCACTGTTGACAAACACCAGTTGTTTCCACATCTTGGCTATTGTGAGTAATGAACATGGGAGTGCAGATATCTTTATGAGGTGGTGATTTTATTTCCTTTGGGTATATACCCAACAGAGGGATTGCTGGTTATTTTTTAAATTTAATTGGCTTTAATAAGATTATACATAGCATGCTATTGCTTAGAATCCCTTTCATATCTATTATTAGAGTCCCTATTTTCTAATGATGTTTGTTCATAGTTTTTCTTCTTTTTCTTGGGCATGGTCTATTTTAATTACTTTGCAAACAACTAACTACTTGGGTTCATTGATTTTTTTCCTCCTCTTAACAAAACCATGAGCCACCCCCTCAACCCCAAACAACTTTATTTTTGCATGACTACTACATGCTTTTAAAAATAAGTTCTATGTAAAACACACAAAAATATCAGCTGCAAAACCATCACCCTGAGCATACCACCTCTGCTGTCCCTTACGGACAGCAGGGAGGGAAAAAAATGACAGGATCCAATTGCTTTTAACTTACCAAGTTCTTCATAAACATAGATGCCTCACAGATCAGCCAAGACTGAGTCTGAATACCTTGTTCAGCCCGGCGAGGAGCCTGCTACCAACATTTGTCATTCACAGAACTGTGCTAATACAGTCTATTTGTGGAGAATGGAGCACAGATTAACTGCTTGTTCATGATAAATCAAGGGTATCTGATTTTCCTGTTACATGCCCAGTTTTCTTTGGAAGCAAGCCCTGGAAACTATTTTTCTGATCAAATCCTAACTCTCATGTTTGTGCTTATGAAAGAGAAAAACAACATTTACTCATGATAAAGACTGAGTTCTAGCCATTATAAATCTTATCAACTGCCTCGTAAAGGTTGGGGGGAAAAAGAAGAAAAAAAAATTGTCATTGTGTTCACTCAGCTGTGCGTCTGGACTAATGCTCTTACTACTGTTGTAAAGTGTTCTAGAATTTCTATGATTAGCACATATGAAAATATAAGTAGAGATGAGTTGGAAACCTGAGGAGATATCTGATTGATCAATGTTGCATGATAAGAAATGGCCAGTAACAATTCAATAGAGAAAATTGTTACAGTTTACTAGTAATGGGAAATATTAGAGCACCTAACATTTTCTTTTTTTCTCTATTTTTCTTACAAACCAGCAAGACCAGCAGAAGTGATCTTAAATATTTGCCATGTTAGTATTTAGACTCTCTCTCTCTCTCTCTCTCTCTCCCCCACACACACACACACATTGTACGAGGGTATTCAAAAAGTTCATGCAAAAATAGAATTAAAAGATATTACAAATATTTCCATGAACTTTTTGAAGTACCCTCATGTTATATATATATATATATTTTTTTTTTTTGGCTTCAGCAAAGGTGCTTAGTACATAGTACACATTCTATATAATATTTTTATTAACTGTTTCAAAGAGATATTTTTTCCCAAAGTCATTAAGATAAAATGTAAAATATATTTATCTAAAATATGGGCCAAAAAATAACTGTTTTCCATAGGTTAAATTACACACTTTTACACAAGCAGTTCTTCAGTTTTAACAAACATTTCTTGAGTGTCAGGTATGTGCTAGTGTTCACTCACACTCACACAGAAGTGAATAGTGTGGCTGAATGTGAACCAGCTGGCCAGCCATCAACTCTACGCACTCTTCTTCAGTCACTGTGTTTTGACACTATCCATTAGCCTTGGTGAAGAATATTTTTGACAGAGGGAAAAAGAAACACAGGGACAGAAGTACTTGCTCTTTGGGCTATAGGGCTATTTCTTTCCATTTATTTATGAAGTCATTTGAATGCCTCTATCAGCATTGCATATAGTCTGCAGTTTCCCTAAGATAGTCAGCTTTGGGGATAAGAGTAAGGAAAAATTTTTCCTCCCCGTGTTTTAATCTTTCTTTCTTTCTTTTTTTTTTTTTTTTTTTAATCCAGTTAGGTTAAGGAGCAGGCAACTCATAGGCCACCAATCTATATGGGTCATCAAAAGAACACTGAAATAGATTAGTAATTTGATGCCAGTTAATCAAGTTTTCACTCATGGTTTCTTATAATGGTCTCTTGCTCTAGATGTGGTAAAACATAACTCAAAACAGGAAATGTTAAACCAACAACAAACAAAAACAGAAAGCTTTTTTTTTTATGGAACCAGCCTTTTACAGTTGAGTATTTTTGAGATGTCCGTAGAAGCTCCAAGGAGCAGCTGTGGCCACACCACTGCCCTGAGCCCAGCCAGCTGACACTTGCCTAGAGTTGGCAGCCACAGCCAGCTGAAGTTTGGAAACTCCAAAATGCTTAGAGTTGTGATGTGTCTAATTACCAAAATTATAAATCCTTTACCAGGCCTTGCACGGCACTAAGTCACTTCCTTAAAAAGTTGTGTGGTACATAGAATTGCAAGTAAAAAATTCACTATTTTGAACATAAAGAGAAAAATTATTTTTGGTAGCAGATCTTTTGGCCCTAACAACCACTAAATAAATATTAAATACAAGTTTATTAATGGTGAATTTAAAGGGACCCCAAATTATTATTCCTTGTCAGAATCTATTTGATGAAATGTTATCTTCTTCCTAGTTTGCATCCACTCGATTTTTCTTCTTTCAGATATATATGAGTGTGTATAACACACATACATATCTGTATTTTTTTTATCCCCAGTCCTCACTAAGGTTTTGCAAGACAGTCCTGAAAAAGAAGGTTCAATAGAGAGGTAGAAGTTTTTTGGCACCCTCTCTTCCTGTTCTTTGTAATTATAAAATGCAGGTCAATTAAAATCAGTTTTCCCATAATTCCTATAAGTAAGTTTTTCTCCCACAGAAAATCCACAGATTGAAGAGTTGCCCTCCAGAATATTGTCCACTCGGTCAGTGTGGCTATTTTTTTCCTCTAATGGGTCCCAACTCATTTAGTAAGGCTTATTGGACTTTTAACAAAATATTTGGCATTTCACTTTTTTCACTGCAGCCATAGCCATTCTGGAGAACATCATAAAACTTGGCTATTATAAAACGTGGCTATTAAAACTTAAATGCTGTCCTCCAACAAAAATGTTTTTAACAATCCAAAATATTGGCTTGATTCTCCTCAAAGTTAAGAAAAAATCCGGGAAAGTTACTTGTTCGTGTTGTGTATACCTGGGAAGTCATTCATGCTGAGTAACAGCACAGAACTTGAGCTGCCTTGCTTTCTGCTTCCAGGAATGCCAATCAGAGAACATTCTTTTTGAGGCAGCCAAGTTTGGAAGTCAGTTGGTTTCTGGCAGTGAGTAGGGGGAGGGGATGGCAGGGGAAAGACAGTGAATCCCCGGGCTGATCTTCAGCTTCCCAGTGTTTCCGTAATAGCCATCAATGAAAGCATCTCCTTTGACCCAGCAGCGACAGGTAAAAAAGACAGCTGAGTCAATCAGCATTCGATGGAAGGGCGGAAGCTCAGTCAGAGGGCGGGGGTGGGGGGAGGGCCTTTGAAAGCCTGCCATTGGTGCGCTGACCGAAGGCATCTGCCAGTGGGACTTCATTGGAATGTGAAACCGAATCATTTTCAAGTTAAAGATAGACACAGTACACACCAGGATCTAGAAGCTGGATTTTAAACTCATAGCTCTTTCTAGAATTTCAGAGAGTTCTGTTATGATCTCTGTTGTAATTAACAATTTGGTTCAAGTTTGTTCTTTAAGTGAATGTGCTAAGAATTCCTATGTGGTCTGGATGTCCTGGAATTAAAAGGATTTAAGAGATCATGGTGTGCATATTCTAGGGTAAGTGATATGACGTGTTAAGGTGCATCGCTTCTCTGGCAAGGTTAATTGTGGAATTTTTCTTTTTATTTGTGTGAGTGAAAAAGTGGTAATGAAGATTTTTCAGTGTTGTGGCTTGCTTATCTTTCTTGAGAGAGCTGGCATTTTACAATCTGTGAAGCGGAAAGAAATAGAGTATTTTAGCTTAGTTTTGAAATTTACATGGCAGGTCTGTAACTTCAGTTTTGCCTTTACTTTTACCTGCTTTTTGCTGCCTTAACTCCTCCCCTATGCACCCTGAGTTTATTGAGTTACAGTATCAGTAGTTAAATGTCACAACACTGGCTGAATATTCCTGTGTCCATTGTGACATTGGATGAAACTGTATTACTATGAGATGGAGTTCAGGTTCCCTTGTATGGCACTAAGTCACTTTCTAATTTAAAAAAAAAAAGAAAGAAATAAAAGGGAGGGGAAAGGTGGCCTAAAGTGCATAAAGGAGACTGAAGAAGGTATTTTCCTTTTGAAAAAGCAACTGAAAAAAAAAAAAAGGCAAGTTCCACTGAAGAGAACAGTTTATTAATAGAAATTATCCTTTGGTGTTATCTCATTAATTCCAAGCAGTTTCCCCTCCTCCAAAAAAGCTGATATTTGCTAAGTGAATGGAGGCGTTCTGATTATACAGAGCTGAGAGAAGAGGAGGGAGAGAAAGGATTGTCTAATTTGCTATTGCCACGCTGTGTTTTAGGGATTTAAAAGCTTTTTTTATTGAAAAGAAAGCACGCCACACTTTAGTTCTCTTCACGTTTTGCCCATGTATAGGTTTTGTTTCTTGTTTAGTCAGATGACCTCTCCTCTGCTCTTAGAGACAGCTTTTCCAAACTTGCACAGCATTCCTTCTGAATAAATACTGTCCATAATAGTCACAGAGTACATGGTGTGAATTGGAAATTCTACTTTATATGGGGAAAATAAATTCGCTGACGCTCTTATTCTCGAGTGTGGGGCTGGACGGTTGTTAAGTGTAACTGGCCAGTTTTTGCTCTGTCCAATAGACCAGATTCTAATGAACTGAATTGGCTAAATTGGGTACAAACAATGAATGCCTTAATATGGATCTTTCACTCAACTTTGGTAAGAATAAATAATATACTGTGGTCCTCTTTTAAAATGAAAAATGGGCATAATATTGATAGAGTCGGTTGATTTTATAACTGCTGAATGATCTAGCAAGGCCAAACCAAATGTGAAGTTGGCAGAGCTTACTTTTGACGCCCCCTCCCTCCTTCCTCTGCCCAGTTCCCCTCCCTCTTTAGTCCTGCTTCTCCCTCCAGCACCCTGATGCATCTCCCTTTTTTCTTGTCAGTCAGGAAGGAATATGACCGTAGAGCATTTTAAAGTCAATGTGCTAAGTCCATCAGGAATATTTTTACATTTCAATATGTATACCTAACCTTCAAACAGTTTAGGCAATGTGTTAAATCATGGTTGACCTTCAGTGATACTTATAATTAACCCATTAGGTTGTAAAAAGTGCAGCTAATTTTCATTTCCTGTGAGCAGACAGTACCTTGGTAAACTTTTCTGTTCACGTCGGAGGCCTGATGACATTGCGTTGCCCAACAGTGTCCTGAATGGCTAACAATAGGAAAGAACCTGGCAGAAATCATAGGTGCTTCCAAGAAGTTTGTGACATGCACCTGGGTATGTGGTGAGCACACAGGTGCACACACAAACACCTGTAGGCATACTTTTTATTTAATACATTTCTGATCAAATTATACCAATAAATAAAAATTATATTAGGCTGATCAGCGTAGGGTTTTGTTTTTGTATTCAGTGTGTCAAAAGAAAAGCAAAAGAAAACACAAAATGTAAAATTCTAAAATGTAAGAACTTTAAATGTCGTGGCCAAATACTGTTGACAGGAAAAGAGGCAAATATTTCTCTGCTACTATTTGTCACTTTTACTGTTTCTAGTTCCCTGATGAAATTGTCAAGCTTGGCTTTTATTTCTTTGAACAAAGTAAGTGTAGTTGTTTTATATTTCTGATAATTATACCTCAAGTGTTACTGGATTTTTTTCTATTAGTACTGTTCCTGCCAATTCTTGCTCGTGGTGTCTCATTTTCTTGATTGCTTGGATATTTTTGACTACTTGTTGGAAATGTATTTTAAAATTTACTTGTAAGTTGAGGCCTAAATGATGATGGTGTTTTTCTCTAGAGAGGACTTTGGTTTACTTCTGTCAGGCACCTGGGGGAAATATCAGACCAAAATCACTTCAGACAAAGTAATCACCTCTGAGACAAGAAGCAAGGCTGCAAATCTATGTGAGGCATGCTCTATTTCAGGTTAAGTCTTACCCTGAACTTAAAGTTGGGTTAGTTAATTAAAGCCCTCACTTGAGGGCCAAGGACTTTGACTTTTCCATGAAGCCCATAAGGCTGCCAGAAGCAAAGCTGGTTTCTCAGATCTTTTCCCCTTCCCCAAAGTCATACACCCAAGGGCAAAAGCTTTTAAAGCTGAGCTTACCTCTCTTTCTTCTCCTGAATTTTCGTGTGCTAAATCCTTCCCACCTTTGTTTTTATAATTCAAATATTTTTACTTACCCCACTGGGTGTGTTACTCCAAATTATCTCATTACAGTTACAAGAAATGGAAATTGACTCTACTGCCTTAGAGTTGTTGTTGTTGTTGTTGTGACCTGATTTATTTAGACTTTTTGGAGAAAATTGCATATGCATGCTAGATTGAAAGATTCATGTTTTCTGACTTTATTTGAGCTGTAAACTAGACTTGACAGTCCCTTTATTTGTCCCTAGCTGCCCCTTTCCTGGATAATCTCTTTATTCTGTAACACACCCTAGTACCATCACTCTCAACTGTTGACCTTGACTTTTCCTACTTTTTCTTGGCCTGATATAGGCCGAGTATCACCACATTTTTAAAAAATTACCTTAAATAAATCCCTTCCTTTCCATTCTCTTTCAATTGCTCTAGTTAAGGTCTTCATCATCCCTCTTGGGTCTCCCAGTTGCTCTGCCTCTTGGCGTCATCCGTCACCATCACATCTCCCATGGTGGGACCATCACACCTATCTTCTAAAAATCATAGACATTAATGGATTTCTCCCCTACTTACAAATCTTCCATGGCTCACCATTCCCTTCAAAATAAAGCTTAGTATCCTTAGTATGTTCTACAAGTTCCGTCACAAAGCCTCAACCTGTTTCTCTAACATTGTCTCCACTAACTGCTTTTCCCGAACACTTTAATCACACATAGTTGCTGCCTTTAGAATATGCCATTTACTATCACACCTCTAGTCCACCTACTATTTTTTATTTTTACTTCTTGCACAGAATGCCTGTTGCTCCTCTCCTTTGTGGGAAAATCCTACTCCTCCTGCCAGGTTGACCTCATAAGTCTCTTTCACTATACTTTCCTTGACTGCATGGCTCACCCACTGTTCTGGGAGCCCCTCAGGGCGTGGATTGCGTCTTACTCACTTTTCTATCCTCAGTAACTGACACATTGAAACCACATAATACATGTTTAAGGAATGAATAAATGACTATTCTGAGGAAGTGTTACCTCAAGATTCCATTTTTTACTTTATTCTTTTTCATCCTAAACATCATTATTCTTTTGAGCTTGGACTCTTTGTCTAGAATAATGATCATTAATGGTTCTGTATGCCACGTAGAGTCAGTAAAAACCATGTGTGTTTGTTTGCTGGTTGTTGTTGTCTTGGGGAGAGGGGATTATCTATTCCCTTTTTTGCCAAATGAGGTATATAACTTGATCATGATGGCAAGAGAGACAGTGGAAGTTTAGGTATGATGAATCAGCTGTATATTATCAGAGAAATTCATAATCAAAAGATAGTCATAGGTAGGAAAACTGACATGTTTCAACAAATCTAGTCCAGAATGTTGAATAACAACAGGAGAAAGTCAATGAGATACAACTAAATTAAAATTACCTTATCGCATACAACCTGAATCTCAACCATTAGAAAACACTGGATTGTTTCAGATCACAGTGTGGTGCTAGGAAAAAAAGGAGTTGATTGCTTATGTGATATGACATCATGACCCTAAACTTTAAAGCTGGTTGAAAATTTTTGTTAAAATTTTTAAGGTCTTGAAGTGCAGCATTAATCTCATTTTCCTAGTAGCATATGACAGGCAAAGAAAAACTGCACTTGTTGATGAAAAATTGAACATAGTTGTTAAGAACCAGACGTAGAAGAAATAACATATAGCTGATTAAAAATAAATACTTATGCATATAGTTTATTAATTCTATGTATGTTTCATTAATTTTATATATTTTTGGACCACATAAATTTTTCACACATTTGTCATGTGCCTTTGATTGGCCAACTCCTGAGATTTAGAAAAATAAGAAACTTGGCTTATATCATTTCTCCTACAGGACTGTCCTACCTCCATAGAGAAAAGTCCTAATATGGATGGGGTCAAAATTTATCTTTTAAACAAGTCTTTGAATCTAATGAAAAGTTCAAGTCAATGTTTAAATGAGAGCCCAGAATTCTCTATTATACAATATGAAACTATTGATGTTGGCCTTTTCTTTTTTGCTTTATTTATTAAAAAAAAAAATAAGACTGGCTCTTGAATACTGGCTGATTTTAAGTAATAACTTCCAAGTCACTGAGCTAATTTTTCTCATTAATTCAACAACTTGAGCTCCTACCTTGTGTCTTAACTGTGCGAGGCAATGACATCACTTATTCACCCCTCACTGGACAGTGACACTGAAGTATATCATCTTAACACAATGAATTTAATTAATAAATTCCTTTATATATTCTTTCATTTATGTTCTTAATTTGTGCTAATCTCCACACATGTTTAGAAAGGTATTTTGCCTTTCTCAACAATTAGTATTTTCCTCTCAGAAAGCTAAGTTATAAGATAGTCTTGGTATTACTTTAATGCTTAAAAAAATCTCATGTTTAGCAAATACTTTTATTACAGAATAGCTTAAACA